GAGAGGGTCTCGACGGGACCACCGCCCGCTATTTCGAAGCTCCACCCCACCGGGCGTGGCTCCCCCCCCCCCGGGCCGGGGGGTGGGGAGGGGCTGGGGGGCCGCCGCGAGAGGGTCTCGACGGGACCACCGCCCGCTATTTCGAAGCTCCACCCCACCGGGCGTGGCCCCGCCCTCCCGGGACGTGGGGTTGCCATGGCGACGGAGGCGCTTCCCCTCGGGCCGACCAGCAAGTTAGGTTGCGCGGGCCCCGCCCCTCCCGAGCGGAGGAGGCCACGCCCCCCTGGCGGCGATGTCGGCTGCACCGCGGAGAGGAGGGCGCGCGGGGAAGCTGCTGGCCGACCCAGGTGAGGACTGCGACCCCCCCGGCGTGCTGTTGCGGGGAGGGGGATTTTTTTGGGGGGGCAGGGAGAGGGGCGCCGTGGGTGGGGGGCGAGTGGAGCGACGTGCGCCTGCAGGACCCCTCCCCACCTGTGACCCCCCCCCTCCAGCCCCGCCTCTCGGGACGCACAGAGGCCCTGCGGGGTCTCCGCCTCCCCCCCTCGGGGGGCTGGCAGGTGTTGGCTGGGGCGCATGGGCGTTGTTGTCCCCGCAGTCGGGGCCCTGCGTTGCTCGGCCCCCTTCCCTGCCGCTGCTGGGGGGAGCGCCTCCCCCCCATCCCTCCAGGGGGGGCGTCTGTGAGGAGGGGGTCCCCCCCGGACTCCCCCCCCCGCTTCCTTTCCCAGGCAGGTGGGGGGCGCCTCTCTCGGGGGGTCCTGTCCCCTCCTGGGAGGCAATGACGCCCGACTCCCACTTCCCCGCGGCCGCGGGGTCTTCGAAAGGCCCAGGGAGCCTCAGCCCCCCGCCCAGGAGTTGCGAGAGACCCCCCCCCCAGGTGGGACCAAAGAAAGCGGAGTTGCCGCAAGTAGCGCTTTGTTCTGGGCAGGCAGGTGGTTCCCCTTCGTCCTTCCGGGATCTCCTCCCCCGTTTGCCAGATGGGATCCCTCTGGGCTTCTGGAGAGCAGGCAGGATCTGCTGGATCTTGGGCCTGGAGGGGCTGCTCTGTCCCGGGGATCCTTCTGGCGGGGGGGGGGGGAAGTCTGGTGCAGCAAGAGGAAGTTTTGCTGGGGCTGAAGGCGCTGAAGTCGATGGCCTTTGATTGGCAAGTGAAACGTTTCCTTTGGGTTCCCCCGTGGCCGCCTTCGGTTTCCCCCACCAACCACAAGGGCAACCGGGGGAAGACCCGTCCATAAACGGTGCCATAAATGCAGCCGGAGTAATTTATTCTGAAGGGCCGAGCGGCCTCTCAATATTTGTATTTTCAGCATTCAAAGTAGGATTAGCTAAAGTCCTTGGCAGATGGCAGGACTCAAGGTAACCGGGCTGCTGCGTTACATCCTAATTCTTTCAGACCTAATTTTCCACTTGTGTGTCTTGGAGAATGAACGTTGGCTGTGGAGGTTCCGGGTGGCTTCTCCCCATGGCCTTTCAAAGGTCTCAGGTCTGCTCGGAATTGCCTGTGGAACAGGATAATTGAAGTGGAAATGCCATTCCGGGATTGCAGCATATGACTGCTGGGTGGGTCATAAATCTTTTTTTCTCTCTCAGTGGCAATTATAAGAAGGTCTCATGGCAAGAAAAATAAATAAACAACCCAATCCAGAGCAGTCTTTCTGCTCCAAGGAATTATGCTGCGGTTGGAAATGTGTGCCCAGGAGTTCTTCTCATGGGATGTGTGTGCAAACTCAGAGGTGTGCCCACATAATAATAGTTGTGAATAGAATTTCTTAAGTAGCTTTAAACAATGCGTGTTTACAAAGGCGATGATGAAAATGCCTTCCCTTGGAAGCTGGCCAGGGGAACCAAGCTTGGCCACCTTCCCAAAGTTGCCAGGTTATTTGGGGCTGTGGGGGAGGGGAGGAGGAGGGGGAGACTCCTTCTATAGGATTGGGACTCCAATGGACCCGTCCTGCTTCCGGGCTCCCCTTTGGCATCCCAGGGGGGGAAAGGAACAGGCCCCAAGTTGTGGGAGACTTGTGTTTATGAGACGGAGAAAGGGCAACGTTGCTGAAATCACCCTGAGCAGCCGGCTGTTGAAAACAGGCTCCAAAACCCGTATGTGGTGAGGCTAACGTGGGAAAAAATATAATTTAAGTTGTCTTGGGTTTGCTGGAAAGGCTTTCTCCCCCTCCCCCCCCTCCTCTGTTATTCGTGTGGTGTGTTTCAGGAAGGGAACTCCTGGCATTCTTCTCAACTATGACAGGAAATAGAGCAGCTAATCGGAAAAAAAAATCTGTATGCTTGTTTCTCTCGGGTTTTTCTGGCAAATGATTAATGCTTCTCCAGAAAGAATGCGCGAACAACTTAAATACCTGCGCCTATGGTTATCCCGGGGTATATCGATTAAAGCAATCGTTTTTAGTTTTCCCAAGGCTGGTTGGCTTGCTCTGGTGGAAGACTTCTGACGCATGAGCCCACATCCTGGGATGCAGGAAGAGCAAAGCTCCCCAGGCCTTCTTCGGATGGCTCGTGCTGCCCATCCATGCAAGCCTTACAGCCGGCCAGGCCCATCACCTAATTGCTTTAAATTTCAGCTTCGGCCTTCCTGCCTAGCACCACGAGCCTCCCCTCGACGCTGCTGCATAAGTTGTAACTTACTCATCGGAGCAGGAGTTTGTTCACCCATTAAGCCATGTGGATGGAGCTCTGAAGGAATGTGGAGGCCAGTCAGACCAGTCCGACCAGTGAGTGAGTGTTAGCGTCATCCAGGCAGAGAGACCGAGCTCTGTGCACCTCCTCAGAGACGGTGGTTCAGGCCCTTCTGAGACAAACAGGGTGTTGATTTGGGCTCAGAAAAGGGCCCTGTGGATCCTGGAGCACGAGGGCAGCCGTGGGCAGCCCCCTGTTTGGCAAAACTAAAGTGAAATGGTGACGCTGGAGGTTAAGGTTTGCTAGAAGGGCAGCCCTGTTCTGTCTTAAAAGAATCTTTGGGGTGGGGGCGTGGGGGGGAGAAAGCCCTGTCTGTTGACCCGAGCAGCTTCTGCTGCTGAGCTGGAAGGGGAGAGTTCCTAAACTCTGTGGCTAACCAGTGTGTGCCTACTTTATTTAACGTGAATCAGTGGAGACAAACATTAAAGGGGAAATTGCCCTTCCTGATGCTCATGGAATATTAAAAGAATGCTTGCAAAGGGAAGCTCAGGGCGAGGCTTGGAGTTCGCAGCTGGGTGAAGTGGGGCTGCTCTTCCCTCCTGAGCGTTGGGGCTTCAGAGCCAGCCCCTCCTGCTCCCTTCTGAACCGGCCTTTTCATGGAGATGCCAACCCCAGAAGAGCAGGGGTGAGTGTGTGTGTGTGTGTGTCTCTTAAGTTCCACCTAACTTAATTGAAGGCCAGAGGTGTGGCAAAACAGTTCTGTGGAGGGGAGGGGTGGGAAACCAGGGCATTTTTAAGGAAATGAGATCCTTTTGGTGCAGAAGGCGGCTGGGAGAGATCTGGTTTCTCGGCTTCGGGGACTGGAATCAGTCGGGAGAGGAGTGGAGCAGAAGGCGAGACCCATAAAGCGGGTTCCATAGTCCATCTTGGAAGGCACGGGGGTGTGTGTGCCGGGGGGGCGGGGGGGAGGTTGGCTTCCACTGCCATATAACGGGGCCGGTGCCAGTTTCCGAAGGCCTTGAGGAAAACCAGCTCTAGGCAGAATCTCAGGCCAAAGGTCAGCACAGCATGCCAGGCAAGGTGCGGTGGAACAGGTCTGGGCAGTCCGCTGCTGCCAGTCCTTTGCGGGGGTGGCACGGCTTGCCCTCTCTGTCGGAGCGTGTCCTGTAGGTACGGTTGCTAATAAGGGGGACGCAGCCCCAGCCCAGGGTCCGTCTCGGCTGCTAGGACGCCTGGCCCAGAAGGTGGGTGGGTGGCTGCTTGCAGGTAAGGCTGAGGGAGCGGTCTGCCCTTAGCTTGGCAGTGGGCCAAGGGTCCTTCGGGGGTGTCCGTGGGGACCGAGGGCTGCTTCTGCAGAAGGGCCTTTGAAGAGTGCTGCCCGGGAGCCAGGCAACTGCAGGCAGAGGGGAATCTTCTCCCCCTGGGAATAATCAGGGCTTCGTGTTTTGGGTGAAATAAATCAGAACCTCTGATCCTCCAGAGAGGATTTTGAAGGCAGTAAAAGGATTGTAATCCCAGTTGCTCCTTTAGCACCACTTACTGGGCGGGGGGGAGGGGGGAAGCCAGGCAGGAGGGGGACGTCTTTGCCTTGAGCACTTTCGCTGAGTTGCAGCCCCCCTTGGTGGGCACCAGGTGGGGAAGGTCAACAGGGGAGCCCCAATTCCCCCTCTGGGGAAGAGTGAGGCTCTCCTGGCTCTGGCAGGGCTCAGCCGCCCACAGCTCACCCGGTTCTCCCATGTGCCGGGTGCCAGGAATTGTGGGCTGTCTGCAAGAGCTCTTTGTTCGGCTACCCAGAGATGCCGCCAGTCCTGTGCCAGCTTGCCTTCCCCTCCCCGCCCGCGTTGTTCTGCCTTGGGAGAAGCAGCCTGGGAAACGGCTGGCGCTGAGGGTGTCTGGGGCAGCTTGCTTGAAAGGCCCAGCGCCCCTCTCTGCCCCCACTTCCCTCTCTGAACCGACGGCCCCCTTCCTGGGCCCTGCTGGCCACCAGCTGCCCCCTCCAGAGAGCGCCAGGAAGGAGGGCATAGGGGCCGGTGCACAGCCGAGCGTGCCTGGCCTTGCCTCCTGGGGCCGCCTGAAACCCCTTGCGTTCAGTGGCTCTTTGGTAAGGAACCAAGAGGGTCAGTCCTGCCTGGGGGGATCTCTGGTGGGTGGGGGGAGCGGAGGCTCTGCCAGGGATGCCCCTGTCTCCAGCTCTTGCCGAAGGGCTGAAACAAAGGAGACCCCCGGCCTGATCTAGAGAAGGGTCTCTCTTATCGGGGGGGGGCTGCTCTTGGGCTCCATGGAACTGGTGCAAGGGGGCCTTTGGGGCTGCCACGGCTTGAGAATCCCAGATGGGCCTGAGATTCGGGCAAGGAAGGGGCTGCTGGAGTGGGGGCGGGGGCTGGGCAGAGAGAGCCCCTGGGCTCCTTTTGGGGAAGGGGCTCTTAGCCCCTCGGGAGGTTGGAAGAGGAGCTCATTCGCCTGCAAAGAGCCATGAGGGGGGGACCTTCGGGAGCCTCCCCCAAGACCTTGGCCTTTGTCTCCTGGCATTAATGCCCTCTGATCCTGCTCAGCGCCTGGGACCGGAGGCACCTTCCCCCGTGGCCCTCGTGCCCTGGCAGAGAGCGACCAGGGTTTTCCTTCCAGCGAGCGTTGGGCCAGGCTCTGCCCGAGGAGGACCAACGGGGGGGCAGGAAAGAGCCACCCTCGGTCGCTGCCAGTGGAAACGGCCCTACGAGTGGAGAGGGCCAGAGGCATCGTGGCTGGATGGCTTTGAACTCGGCTTCAAGAGATCTGGGGATTCAGGGGTCACTTCGTGCAGACACAAGGTGCTCACTGCCAGGTGCGCAGAGAGAGGCTCCCAGGGAAGGGGCCCTCGGCTGAAGGGGTGCCCTGTGGCATGATGGGTCAGCAGCCCTCTGGCCATGCAGAGACCTCGCCTGCAAGGCGGCATGAGGAAGTCCAGGGGATGAGTAAGCCTTGCTGTGCACCATGGGCTTGTTCCCTGCTGTCCAAGAGCCTTGCCTGCAGGCTGGCTCTCTTCCCTCACCCCAATTGCCCCTCTGGGGAAGAGTGAGCAGCTGCAGGGCTTGGTGGCTTTTGCCACAGGAGGGCAGAGGTCTGGAAGAACCGCCGTAGCCACATCCACGCCACCTGGGCAGCCTCCCGCCCCCGTTTCCCTGCTCCCTGGCTTCCGATGGGTTCTCTCTGGGCAGCCCCTGGAGAAGAGGGGGGCCCGTGACAGTCCCTTCTCCCCCCCTCCCAATATTTGATGCTAGGTTCTGGGAAGTCCTGCTCCCCTGCTCCCGAGGGGATGGTTTCCCCTGGGGGAGGGAGGGGAGGGGATTAAGGGCTGCAAAGCCGCCTTGATTGCTCTGCCGTAGTAATTTCAGGGCCCAGCCACAAGGCTGCCTGATTACAGAGCCGCGTCTGCTTATAATGCCCTCCACAAACCACGGCTCGCTTCCTGTCTAAGCCAGCAGGCCTTTCTCTTCTGCCTCCGCTGACCCAGCCAGAGGGGTCTTTTGCAGGGGACTCTGCCCTGGGGTTGGTGCGCCCGGGGGGCATCCGGAAAGGGGCCTGGAAGTCAGAGGAAGCACCCGGGAACTGCCTTGGGTTGGCCTGGGTTCAGGGGCGTCCGGAGGGGGTTGAGGTTTGTGGTGCAAAAGAGCCCCATCCTGGGAAAGGCCTGGGAAGCTGCCTGGATGAAATATTGGACTGCCTCCCATCCCCCCCCCCTGCCTGGCCTGGCCCTGGGGGGTCCCTCCTGGGAAGAGGCAGCCGCTGCCCTCCGTTTGCATCCCAATCACCCTCCGCTGCCACTTCCTTTGGCACGAAAGGCCTGGCATGCAAGTGTGGATTAGTTGCTTCTCATTGGATGCCCAGGCTGTCTTTCTTTCAGCCAGAGCCAGTGAGATTCCCGGGTGGCCTGAACTCTTCCCAAGGGGGGCCAGGCTGGGCTTGCCAGCCCCGCTCTTGCCTTGGGGGGAGGGGTGGCAGGACTGGGGGGGGGGTCCAGGTTATCAGTCCTGGGGAGGAGGCCGGAAGGCGCTTGCTCGGCCACTGAAGGTCTCTTCTTCTTTCCCTTTTCCCGTTCCCAGGACCGGCCTTTGCGGAATCCTAGAGGCTGTTTGTCCCCAGCCATTCGTCTCTGTGGTCCCTTCAGAAGGTCTGCTTCAGGATGACCCTGCCCGGAGTCGGATCCCTTCCCAAGTGGAATCCTCGTGAAGCGGGCCAGGAGACTCAGGTTGTGTGAGTGGGCTCCTTGGCCACAGAAGGCTGAAATGTACCTGGGGGAGGGCTGGGACGGAGCCTGCGCCTTGGATCTCTGTGTGCTCCAGAGGAAGGGAGCAGAGCGGGGGGCCTTTGGGGGCAAGCAGAGGGCCAGGGGCTTTTTGGTGGGCCTGTGAAAGCAGCTGCCGTGATTCTTTGGAGCAGCCCCCTATTAATGCCTGATGTCTCCATTTCTCCTAGGGGGCTCCTTCTCGCGGGACCCTCCCCATCCCAATCCCATGAGGCCCTTGAGAGCAATGGCCACGCAAGTTGAACTCGGCTCCAGCCTGACCTCGCTGGCCAGCATACGCGAACCAAGGACCGAGGCCGCCTTCCGCCACTCCTTTCTGACCTCGCTGTCTGACTCCAGCCGGAAGCCCGGGGAGGGTCCCCGTGCTCTGGCCCTGCTCATCCCGGAGGGCAGGGGGAACCCCATGGGCCCCGCCACCATGCCCTCCACCGCCTCCAGGCCACCGTGGACCCCCAAGCCCTTCTCCCGGGAGACGTCTTCCGACACGTTTGCTACGGTGAAGCCGCCCGTCCCGGCACTCAAGCCCAGCCATGCCACGCCAAAGCCCCCCACCTTTGCCCAGACCTTTGAAGACGCTGCCAAGGGGTCTCCTGGAAACGTCCCGCCGCTCCTGGATCAGAAACCGATGGAGAGCAAAGGCCCCCTGGAGCCGGTCGCCCACCTGCCCTTCTATCTGAGTCCCCAGGCCAACACGGTCATCCTCTTTGAAAGCAGAGGTCCGGCGAAGGGGAGGGCCGAAGAGGGAGGGTCCAAGGCCCAGGAGGGGCAGCTGCTACGCTCCCAGTCAGAGAAGTGGCCCCGAAGGCAGCCCTCGCTCTCCACGGACCCCAGGCCGGTCTCCTGGGCCCCTCGCTGGAAGGAGGCCTTTGCGGGGGCCCCCAAGGGTCCGGCTACACAGCAGAGTCCGGCTCCGGCCACCGAGACACACTCCCAGGTGGGGGGGAGACCTGCAGCCTCGGCTGGCTTTGGGCGATCCTGGCAGGAACAAAGGCAACCAGCTCCTCCCGAGGCAGCTTCCGGCCCAGGGTCCCCAAAACCGAAGCCGCTCCCCTTGGATCTCACAGGGATATTTGAACCCCGGGACCCCTCCTGGCAGAAGAAGCCCTCCCTGGCTGAGAGTGGAGAGAAGAGCTTCCCGGCAGCTGGCGACGGGGCCCTGGAGGCCACAGGAGCGAGGAGCGCAGCAGCCAGCTCAAGCGGGGCTGCCCCATCCGGGCCCAGAGCGAAAAGCGCCGGCCAGCTGGCTGAGTCCCCCCAAGGTTGTTTGCCCTCTGCTCCCCCGGGCCAGACCCTCCCGGAAGAGGCAGGGCGAAAGGGCGCACAGGAGGAGACGGTTGCGTGGGAGCCGGGGAAGCCCAGCGTGGGGCAGCCCAGCGCTAGCCAAGGGCAGCCTCTGGGGGAGAGGGCAGAGGTCCCTCCCCAGCAGGGCGGCTTAAGGAACGCCTCGGACGGCAACCAGAGAGGCTGCGCTAAGAAGACCCTCCTGCTCCCGGACCCGCCAGGAAACCCTTGGGCTCCCACCGAGAGTGAGTCCCTCCGCGGCAGCCCCGGACAGGAGACTGGGACCCTGAACATCCAGCAGCGGATTCAAGTGCTGACGGCGGAGAAGGCGGGTGCCAAGACAGGAGGCCTGCGCCGCTCCTTCCGCTCCCGGCCCCTCTCCACGGATTTGACACAGATGTAAGTGACGGGGGAAACGGCCCTGAAGCCGCTGCCTTTCGCTCCCTCCGTCCCCTGGGGGATTCTGGGAGTGGAAACCCAGCCTGTCCGGATGGGATGAAGCCGGGGGAGAGAGAGGCCTTGCGGGGAAGCCTCCTGGGGGCTTTGGAGCTATTCTGGGAGTGGAAACCCAGCCTGTCCGGATGGGATGAAGCCGGGGGAGAGAGAGGCCTTGCGGGGAAGCCTCCTGGGGGCTTTGGAGCTAATAATGGCCCCGTGGAGGAGGAATCTCTAATGTAGGAAGGAAGGAGGTTCAGTTTTAATTCTGAACTGACAAAAGTGGAGCTCCAGGAGGGCTGATGGGTAATTTTATCAGCTCCCTCCGGATCTGAGGAATGAAGAGACGTCCCGGGGGATCTTGGCCAAGCTTGGATGTAGGGTTGAGCCTGGGGGAGCCCTGTTGACGTGTGGGCAGGCTGATTCCGGGGCAGGGGGAAGAACCCCTTGGGGGATCCTAGGCAGCGCTAAGGTTTCGTAAGTGGGGGGCAGGGATAGCTGGGGGCCTGGAGGGAACGGCACAAAGGCTCCTTCTCTGCGTTTCCCTCCTTCATGGCATGGAATCTTTGCAAACAGGTTTTCTGGGCCCGTGGCGGCAGACGAGCTGAAGGCCAAGAGGCAGCCTGGATGGAACAGGAAGCCTGCGAGGGAGAGGCAGGAGGCCCCAGAGGTAAGGGGGGAAACCCAAACGCCATTTCTTCCCTCAAAAGAGAAACCTAAGCTGGACACAGCCTGGATGACCCTGCAGGGAATGGGCCCTTTGGGCAGGACCCCCCACAGCTTCATCTGCTGAGGCCTTTTTGGGGTAGACCACAAAATCGTGGCTCAGCGGGCTGAGATGGTCAGCCAGTTCCAGGCCAGGATGCAGCCCCACTGGAACGAGGCCCTCCG